GCAATACTGGTGATGGAGCTCTGTAAGCAAAACTTGATGAGGCACATTTTCCGGCAAAAAAGCATTATCCCTAGTGAGCCATCATCATCTGTTACAGCTACGAGAGATGTGATCGGATGGGCAAAAGACATTGCCGATGCTCTGGAATACATTCACGGACAAGGTATTGTTCATAGAGATCTCAAGCTGGAAAATATACTGGTAAGTTTAGAATTAGAACTACTGGCTAGCCGCACATCATATTCCTTGTTTTTGACTTTGTCTTTTTCTTCTTTATTTTTCGATTTAATTCCTGTACTTTAAAGAGTCAGCATAAAATTGGTTATTTTCCAAGTAAAACCAAGGTTGATTGTAGATAACCACAACGCATCACACGTTAAGGCATGCAGGTGCCTTGTTTTCTTTTAAGCTTTGCCTTGCGTTCTTGTAAGAGGGAAATCTTTGGACTTCGGTGTTGAAGCTGTATCAATTTACATGGATATTGTCTTATCTTCCCACAGCTGTCGCTAGAAAATGTTGCCAAAGTAGCCGATGTCGGTGTTTCTAAAGAAGCCAAAGCTATCATGGGTACCATGGCCGGAACTCCTACGTATCTCGCTCCGGAAGTGATGAAGTCCTGTATGTACGATTACAAAGCAGACGTGTACAGCTTCGGCATAATGCTCTGGGAGATGTGGTACGGTAAGAGAGCTCTTCTTGATGTGGGAGGAGATGTGAAGGAGTTTTATGACAAGGTGCTTGAGGGGGCAAGACCTGCGCATGTCGAAGGCTCAAAGAGGCCTCCAACTGGTTTGCACTATCTGATGCAGCATTGCTGGGAGAAAGAACCTGATAATCGACCGGATGCGGCAAAGTGTCACAAGATGATAAATCAGCTCTATCAGGAAGCTGCAGCACCATCTTAGGAAACTCTCATTGTTACGCAACCACCTTCAACGTGTTTACTTTTCAAGTGTAGACTTTTGTGGAGCAATAGCAATCCCTTATGTAGCAAATAGAATAGCCTCACCAGCGCCAGGTTTCCCGTTTAATTAACAATTGGTTCATGCTTTAGCGTGCACTATCAAGTTATGGAGCACGTGGGAAGTTTGGAGAGCACGAAAGAAGCGTAAGAGTTTCCCGAGGCAACAGCCTTGGGTAACTCTAACTTCTTGAGTTTCAAGTTTCTAGTGTATCCATACGAGAACATGTGGGGCCGGTCATTGGCCACATAACTCCTAAAAGTGAACTGACGTAACTTAATTCTCTCAATGATATTCATGCGTTCTCCAGTATACATGTCATGAGACAATCAGACTTATCAGGTAGGGGTCGTTATCTTGATCCCGCACTAAATTCTTATACCTTGAACTTATAAGGAAATTTGTAGTAGCCAAAGGGGAGAATTAACCATCAGATCTTAAGAATTAAAGGGTTATATAAATACTCACCAACTCAATTGGAGGTAACTGGGTCTTTATTGCCTAAGACCATACGCGATGTTCCCGATGATAGGGAGGTAAATAGAAGGAAAAAAATTTTTTACAGATTGCACCTAGTACAAACAACGTTAATCGCTCGCTGATCGCAAAGAGAATGCTGACAAATATGCCAACTGTTCGCTTATACCCACCGGNTTTTTGATAATGGTACTAATAATAATAATAAAAAAATAGTAAAAATTATTTGTATAAAACATTACACGTTTCAAGAGAGTTAGGAAAGAAATAAGAGGTAATAGCTTACTTCTAAAGAAGGGCCTACAAAACTACATCCAAACTTTTTAAAGAATGCCGAATGAAGACAGAAGAGGTTTGTTATGCCATTGTCTGCAAGCACTTGTATGGTAGTTTACATTATGTTTGCATTTTAATGTAGGCCATTGAGGGCGTTTCTAGAGCCAGTGAGGTAAGCTTCCCGGGATTTATTCAAGAAGAGGGGATAGAAAAGATTTCAAGAGATCTAGAGCGTCTGGCCTTTAGCCATGACAGTAGCCTATTACAGCCTTCGTCGTCCTGGGAGGAGACGTAGTCCACAACATCTACACCTGATGACAGCATCAGCCAAGCCACACGTGCGTAATATCTTAAACCTCTAGACAACACTGTCGAAGGTAAGGTAGCTGCATTGCAATGGTTTGTGGATGAGTGCAGTATTGGGCCTCTCGGCTCTATTATGAGGCGTCCATGGACTGACGCCACCTCGAAAAGACGTGTATGCTACATCCGTAAAGCTAGTACAATAATCTCAGAGGTATTAAAAACCGTGAGGTCGCAGTCCGCTCCAGAATTGGGGGAGGCAGTGATAGGAAAGAACGAAGTTAGCCACCTCCTTGGGTCTGTGCATAATGGCAGTGATCTACTATTAGCTCTAGTGTAGTCTTACAAAGAAGCGGATACTTCCGAGACAAGGCGCCAGCTATTAAGTCTCGCAGCCAGTAAAGTAACCTTTGCAGGACTGGTAGCACATATACCTCGACCAACAAGATATTAGTTCACGGTGGCAAGACGGTAGAGGCTTGAGGTGGGCAAAGGACTTAGTGTACGGTCGGAGGCCAATCAGACAGGAGCAAAAGTGGACTCTGCCAAGATAGATCACTTTCTAGACTTTATCACGTCTTCTACAATCGTCCAGGACCTTCCATGTGGTCGGAAAACCATGAAATTAAGCAGCAGCACAAACATCGACATTCCCGATATAACGAGGACAGTGTTGCCATCTCGTCTGATCAACCAATATAATCAATATTGTAGAGTAGAGTAGACATCTATATTTATACAGGATAGCCCCTTCAGTGTAGTAAACACTGATATCGACGGGGGTCCTGTTAACCACCCATCCCACCACAGGGGAGGACATCCATCACACAGTAATCTCGTGAAGTGAATTACACTCCGCCATCGAGCCGTACGCTGTTTAGAGTTTTGTCTGAGGCATGCGAGGCGTCAGTTCGAAGGAGTTTACGGGGGCTAGAAAGCTACGTGGCACAAAGCAGGTGCGGATTTGATGATCTAATATCACTCCTTGACACCTTGGTGAAAAATGGGGCTAATGAGGCTGTAATTGCAGAACTCAAGGATAACTTTAGAAAGCTAAAACAGTATATCAAAAGTGATTCCGTTCTCATTGTGTGAAGGTGTAACAGCATGACTGTCTCGTTCACAGATCCACTGCTCCGTGGCTGGTGCTATTCCCGACTACTGCAGAGTATTTGCACTCAGTGATGCTTGAAAGGAGAGCTATCGCCACCACTGTGATCACCAACATAATCAACGTTAACGTTGTGAGAGCTGCGAGACCTTGAAGATTGTAGGAAGCCAATAATAAGTAAACCCGGCTTATGACAAGATAATCCTACTAATTATATCTTACATATATTTTAGTCTATAGACTCAGTTTGTCCTTTATCCAGTCAACCAACCTCCCACAAGACCTTCAGGATGACCTCCTATTTAATGCAAGAGCCGCAAGTGACGGAGTCCGCTCCCGGAAGACTCACCAGCTGCACATGGTTCACAAGGATACAGCGAGGACAGATATTATCGATAGCCTCCAGGAGGACTCGGTGCTGATCACACAGGAGTTGGCCATGAAGTTCTCACCCACCCAGTACAGGGCAACGCAGGCTGATTTCTTTGGTAAGAGAGATATCTCTTTGCACCTGACAGTTTTTTTTTTCAGAGCAAACAGTATTGGAATTGATCGCGCAGACGTTTGTACACATAATTTAGTCTGGTTTATTTACAGCAGTAACCATTATGGAGCATGTACTAAAGACCTTAAAGCAGGAACACTCCGAGTTAACCAGAGCTGTTTACCACCGAGACAACGTAGGATATTATCACTGCGCAAATACCATTCTAGCCAGCAAAATACTGCGAGAGAGAACCAACATGGATCTCTACCGGATTGATTTCAGTGATCCACACGGTGGTAAAGGTCCATGCGAGAGGAAAGCAACGCAAATCAAGACGCACGTGAAGCAATACACTAACCAAAGTCACTCCATCACAACACCTGCTGGCCTTAAGAAGGCTATCGAGTTTGATGAGGGTATTGTAGGTGTGCGAGTTTCGGTTGTTCCTGTTTCCAATACCACAATGAAAACAAAGAGTATCAAGTGGGAGGGCATCAGTAGTTTGTCCAACTTCGAGATCACGGCAGCGGGTGTAAAGGCCTTTCAGGCGTAGGGTATTGGTGCAGGGAATTTCCGACCCTGGACGACATTTTCCGGTATGTTCAACCAAGAGGTGGTAGGGAAGGAAAATTACTCGCGTTCGCGGTAAAATGGATCTCAGTCCGCTATAATATATTGCTTTCATAGCACGCACACTTCTCCCATTTTTTCTCGAAGGGGATGCATGGTAATATTTAACAAGGCTATAACCCCGTGCCACTGTATCATAAATTACACCCTTATTAAGAAAAACTTGCTTATTTTGACTATTCTCTCAGGAATAACACACGATAACCAGTTTGAGTGGATATCTGAAAGGCCAGGGAAAGGAGAGTTTGTGTCAGTGAAACCCAGATATCCAAAGCCGGCAACATCCATATAGATAGTCTACTCAAGGAGGGGTGTACCACCGAAATGACCCATCAAGCAAATGCCAACCTAGCTGATAGTCTCTTGTTTCCATGCCCATATTACATGACACCAATTCCAACATGACATACGAACGGCTGGAGCAGCACCTCTTGTACGGTAAACACCAATTCCGTCGGGTCGAGAGTGTCTCACATATTGACCGAGCGGAGATCAGTTACGCAGAGCGCCTTGAGGCTGGAAGGAGCCATCCTGAAGTGACGATGCCGGATACAGAANAGAGCTCGAACCGTGCAAAGCGGACATGTCTAGAATGTCAACCCTCCATATTCTTTTTCCTCCCTCGTTCAATTTAAAAAGACCAACTTCTTTAACGAGTGCAAGTAGGACCTGAGCTCAAACTCCTAGCCTATTTAGAGTAATAATAACTTTGCATTTAAAGCTAATGACCCATCGGTATTTAAACAATAGAGTGTTTCTGTCGAGGAACTATCAACTGATAGTTGCTTCGCAGAAATTTGATGTTCTTAAAACAAATATTTGCCCGAGAAGCGAAGCAATTCGTGCGATATCGGTTTTTCGCGTGAAATTTAACGTGGAATTCACGAGTCAGGCAGTGAATTTTTCTTGAATCGCATAACTGAATAAAAATAAGAAAACGAGAAATTTAAAACGGCAATATTATTGTTTGTTTTTATCCCGTACGCACGCCCTAGAAAGCCATTTTAAATTCAATTGTCAGAACTCTCATTGTTAAGGGAATAGAAAGCAAGCTAAGTCGCTCACGTTTGAACCGTCGACAATTTTATTTGTGCCTCGTGAATTTTTCTAGAATCGCATAGCTAAATCACTGAGCGAAACCGGATGTTTTGTATTTTTGTGCGCCACCCCAGTGCTCAAACAATGGAAACCCTGTCAAAGTCAGGTGTCAATATCTAGCGGGAACAAGATATTTTTAGAATGAAAACCACTTTTATTTCAAACTCGTGGAGAAAAGAGTGCCCCACATTTTACAGTCTTCAGCAAAAAAACTGAAAGTACAAAATACGGAGTTATTTAAGACAGAGATTTGCCTGCTACCCGTCAACTTGGCAAAATGTGACGCCGACAATCAACAACTGAATTGTGAAATCCTGAAGCGAAATGAAAATTTCAAGCGTTCCGGTGTCAAAGCAAGGTCTACAAAAAACCGGTAAGTGATTTACAGTTATAAAAAAAGTGTATTTTAAAATATAATGATTAAGACTGGAATTTCTTTGTAAACTCTGACGAAAAACAGTTCAAAAAATGGTTAAAAGTCACAATTTTAACTGTTTTTCTTTCATTGCAGGGAGTCGCTCGTTGGTGTCATGCTGGACTGAAAGTTTATGGAAATATTTACTGGAGAATTATTAAAAGTTACTCCAGTAAACATCCCGCCAACTGCTCCTGCCATCAGGTAACTAGAACGACTGGCATTGCTGTCAAGGTCACTAGTAGCTGCTGTGTTGCTTGGCGTGGCTGAGCTATTGAGAACAATCTCCCGTAAAGCAT